CAGGTGCACTCTTGCAGCTCATGAGCCTGGTGCTGAGTGAGGCAGGGGCTGAGACCCTTATTTTGTGATGCTTTCAATTGTTCTGCTAATTGATCAGCCAATCTATTATATTTTGGTTTTGAATTTGGAGTTTTTATCTGTTTTACTGGTACTAATGCAAGGATACGTTGTGATACAGCCTCCTTTGCAGCTTTATCTGCAAATCGATTACCTATATTTACAGCTGTTTGCCCGAATTGATGAGCTTTGCAATGCATTACCGCCACTTCCTTTGGTTTCTGCACATCTTCCAGAAGTTGGAGAATTTCTTCTTTATACTTTATCGGGATCCTTGGGCTGATAGCAATCCTCTCTCCTTCCATATAGCTCCAGGAGCGTGGATTACACCAAAGACATACTTAGAATCAGTCCAGATATTTACCCTTTGTCCTTCTGCCATTCGTAGAGCTTGCTTTAAAGCCACCAACTCTGCTTTCTGTGCTGAGGTATTTGCTGGCAGGGCCTCTGACTCCAATACCTTGGTGGTGGTGACGACAGCACAAAGCTGCTTCCATCTGTAAACAACTCCAGATCAGGATTTTCCAGGGGTTCATCTCTCAGGTCTGATCTGCTGGAATAAACTTGTTCAATAGTTAACAGGCAGTCATGGTCTAAGTTTCCCATCAGGTTTTCTGCTGACAATAACATCGCTGGATTGACAATTGCTGTGGTTTTTAATTCCACATCATCTTGTTTTAATAAAACAACCTGGTATTTCAACGTTCTGCTGGGGGACAGCCAATGATCCCCCTTTTGTTCCAGGACAGTAGTTACCATGTGTGGTACATATACCACCATCTTTTGACCCATGGTCAACTTTCGAGCTTCTTGGATCAGCAAAACTGTTGCTGCCACAGCACACAAACATCCCGTCCATCCTTCACTCACATTGTCGAGTTGTTTGGAAAAGTTCTTTAGACTCTTTCAAAGCCTCATATAGTGGCTTCACATACAGTTCAGAATCCAGAGTTGACACCATCTAATCATCCCCAGAAAAGCTCTCAATTCCTTTGGGCTGCTGGGTTTGGGAATTTGACGAATGGTTTCTTTTCTTTCATTTCCAAGTTGCTCTGTCCTTGTGATATCTCAAATCCCAAATAAATCACTGTCTCCTTTCCTATTTGTGCTTTGCTTCTGGAAACTCTATATCCTCCTTGGCCTAGAAAATTTAGCAGATTGATAGTAATTTCATAACATTTTTCTTTACTTTGTGCTGCTGTCAGAATGTCATCCATATACTGTAACAATACACCTCTCTCTTGGTTCTGTTTCTTCCATATTTCTAATTCTTTTGCCAA